AATGAAGTAAAAGTAGAAAATAACTCCTATAAAAATGGAAGAATCTTATGAAGTAAACCTTGAAATAGTCATTCCCAAAAGCCTTGGCCGATTCCACAGCAATCATCCACCAAGATATTTCACTAGGTTTATCATCAAGATCAGCAGGCCAATCAGGATACATATCACCATCTTTGAAGAAATTTGAAATTCCATCATCAGATCCTTCTGGAATTTCTCCACAATCAGCAATAACGATTTCAATATTGGGACAATCATCATCTCCCGCCGAAATATGCTCAATTGCACGAACCACTCCAATACCCTTTACTACCTTTCCAAAGACAACATGCTTCCCATCTAGATTAGAGGTACGAGTTGTGGTTATAAAGAACTGAGAACCATTGGTGTTTGGACCCGAATTAGCCATTGATAGAATACCTTTTCTTTCATGCTTCAATTCAAAATTCTCATCATCAAACTTGAGTCCATAAATGGATTCTCCACCAGTTCCATCACCTGCAGATATATCCCCACCTTGAATCATAAAACCTTTAATGAGACGGTGAAATCGTACACCCTACAATGAATAAATAATGAAAGACTTGAGCAGCTAAATTCTAGGAACAAAACATTGAAAATAGCATGAACTTCTACTACAAAATAAAGAAAAAGAAAATATAATAATGTATTGAAGTTAGCAAAAAAGACCTATATATAGCAGGTTAATAAGCCTAAGCATGGGCTTAGAGACGGGAGAGATTATTGTGTATGCAATCCGAACGCAGAATAAGGTTCGGATGCTGCGAATTTATTGCTTATTTTACTGCGTATTTTTTGATACATAATTTTTCTACGTATTTTTTACATATAATAAATAGAAAAAATTATGTATAAAAAATACGCAGTAAAATAAGCATTAAATACGCAGCCTCCGAACCTTACTCTGTGTTCGGATTGTGTACACAATAATTTCTCGACCGGAGAAATTATTGTGTACACAATCCAAACGCAGCCGCAAATTTAAGAATATCAACAATAAGGAAATTCAAAGGGCTACCCTTACAAAAAAAATTGCGTTGCTCTAGAATTTCATCAACAAAACTGTTCAGTTCTAAGAACCAGTCCTAGGATTCAAGCGTTTCATAAAAGTTCACGAATATTTCGGAAATGGTCTCCTAATTCTTGAGCTCTGATCAATTAGCTACCAATGAAGTCCTGGGACAACTACAGAAAAAGAGTTAAAAAACAAACATGCAAAAAATCCAGAGAAGGAGAGATTCGAGATTCCAAATCCGTGATTTCTGCTACTTCTCTAAAATCTGGAAAGCGAGAAGAAAAGGAAAAGGTAGATAGTAATGTGGAGGAAGAATACCTTGTAATGAAGGGGGACGCCAGTGTTTGGACCGATTCCCTTTTCCCCGGTGCAAAGGGCCCTAAAATTCTCGGCCGTTCTGGGGGCCACAGCAGCGTTGAGCTCCACCACGATCCGTCCCTCCAACAATCCCCCGATACTCATATCGAGAAAGCATCGCGGATTTGCCGCCGTCGCCATCTGTGGCATTCTTTGGTGATCGTGGGGGACGATGAAAAAGAAGGAGGAGATGGAGATATAGAGGCTCGTCGAAGGAGGAATCCCCAAAATAAATCAGTGGGGAATGACAAGTGGGTGTGATCTCGGGAACCATTGGCAGGCTTCGCGTTTGTATAATTGTATTTCAGTTCAAATTTATCACTCCTTTATGCAGCGATTGAGCAGCGGTGGAAGTGGTGACCATTTTTCTGTTAGCCCCTCGACTATTCCAGTTTTAGACATAACGTTTGAGAAATCTCTTGGTGATTGCCTCCCTTGTTTGCAAGAGATTATTAAGTGCGGCATTCAGATTGTCAGAATCCTTCTAAAATAATTGTGAATAGTAAAAATAGAATAGTAAATAATAAAAGTGCAGCACAGAATAGTAACTACACTTTTATTATCCAAAGTCATAAATTCGAACGGTTATATGAGTGCAAATTCCGCATGTAATAATCTCTCCTTGTTTGAGGGGATATATTTTTAAATTTAGGCTTCGTTTGTACGGCTTTTTTACTGCTTTCTAAAACGGAGTTTTAGTACAAAATTTTTTATTTTTGTACTAAAACTCCGTTTTAGAAAACAATAAAAAAGCCGTCTCAAACAAAGCCTTAATTTAAGATGGGTATAATAACAAAAATAAGTTTTTGTTCACTTCTCTACATAAATTCTTTTTAAATTTATTTTGATATAAATATAATATAAAATTAATTTATTATTATACTAATTTTAAGATAAGATGAATATATTAATAAAATAGTTTTATATTAAAATAATCTTAAAATAAATTTAAATTTTTTAAATTACCATAATTAAATTTTGATCATTAGTATTTAAATTTGATTATGTGTGATGAAGTATGAGCAAATCAATCAAATATACACATACAAAGTGCATTTGAGTTGGTGATGAGAGAAGGTAAGTTATATATGTGAGTTGGGATTTTAAGTCAAGCGACTCGCGAGCCGGCTCTGACTCGACTTGGTAATAGGCTCAAGGAGTCGGGCTTATCGAGCTCGCGAGTCGAGCTTGAACATGATTTCGAACTCGACGGCTTATCGAACTCGTGTTCGAACAGAGCTTCGCTCGACTCTTTAGCTCGTCGAGCAGCTCGCGAAGGTAACTGGATGGGAGGACCAATCGAAGACCGAGTGGGAAAACCAAAACGATGGAGCTCGCGTGTTGCTCAACTGCAGAGCTCAGGACAATATATAGAGGACGCTATGGCGGAGCTCGGGACGACGACGGAGCTCGCATTCTGCTAGCGACAGCTAGCCTGCTTGGGAAGACGGAGCTCGACTACGGACTAGCCTGTTGGAGCGCATGCGAAAGATTCCTTCTGAGGTTCACTAGCAGAGCCCAAGCTCGTTTATAGTGGAACGAGCTCGAGTTCGAGCTCGCTTTTTAACTGACAAGCTGAACTTGATAATGCCAAAATTCGACTCGACTCGACTCATTTACACCCCTATATGTGAGTAATATATGTAGAACATATTAATTATAGTTATACTCAACCAACTAGTACTTGTACATCAATCATCATGCTGAGATTGGCTTTAAAAAGACACTCAAGTGCTTGTGAAGCAATTTTTTCATTTGTACATGTTTGGCCTAGAGATCAAATGTCAAGTATCATGGAGTCCTCAAATATTGACAATTTTATTTTGTCCCTATACTTTATTTGAACTATATAGGATTAATATCAGTTATAGAGGATTGACATTGTTCATGGAGTTATTATGGTTAATTATATCTCAAGATTGTACTAACAAACAATTTTAAATAAGAAAATAAATGTATTCTTATTTGGCGGTGATTAAGGGAAATAGTAGGGGATGAATGGTCAACATGATCATGACTACAAAGTTCAATCATGTCGAGTCAATCTAGCGAACTCAGTCTACCAACGATGGAAGGCTAAAAGGCTACATTTTCTTGGGGGTGCCATTTAAAAATTATGATTCACCTCCTAACAAATATGTTTAGTAAATAAGGGGTTGAGTTATTTATACAAGTGAATTTATATTTCCATATTTTATTAAAAGGTCTTTAAATTGAAGTTTATGTATTTGGAATATATTTGGTTTGAATTTTAAGATTTAAATAAAATTGGCGCTTATATCCCTATATTTTAATGTGGAAAGCCTATGAGACTCAATATCTATTTATTTAGGATGAATATAAATTGAAGGTTTTTAATTTTATAATTTATTTGCGAAGTGGTCTTGTATGCTTGATATGTATATTTAGTAGGAATCTAATTGAAAGATTATGGATCACTATTTTAGCAAGGAAAGGCCATTATAACTCTCTTTTATTAGAGAGATTATTACGTGCGGAGTCTAGACGTAGCTTTCGTCCAGACTCCAATTAAAATAAACCACGTGCCTGTATAAAGGTTGTGTACAATCTTATATATAGTGTGTGTATAACGCACACACTATGTACAAGCAATGTGACCCTTTTTGAGTGGGAATTGGATGCTATCCGGACTCTGCACATAATAATTTCTCATGTAGATACCTCTATTTTAGCAAGGAAATCCTGTTGTACATAATGTGTGTATAATACACACATTGTGTGCAAGCTATGTGGCCCTTTTTTATTGGTGCTTCAATGACGTCAGGACTCTGCACATAATAATTTATCCTTTATATACCTTTATTTTAGCAAGGAAACCCTGTAAGATGTGAATATAAAATTAGATCTTATATTTCTCCATTGTAGAGTGCAAAGCCAATAAGTGTCAAGATCTACATATTTGATATGAATCCATTTCGAAGGTTTGGAATGTGATAATTTATGTGTGAAGTGGTCTTGTAGACTTGATAGCTTAATACCAACCTGAAGATGGCTTCAGACTCAATTGGTAGAGACCATCCAAGGGTTAGAGGATTGAATGATTGATACATCATTAAAAATATTCATCTCATCAAAAGTATTTAAATTAAAAAATTTTATAATTTACTTCAAGATTAGTTTAACTATGTTTTCAATATACTTATTGTCAAAATGTACATCTCAACAAAATATATCTAATGAGCCAAAAATTTCCTAATTATAGCATGATTAAGATACTTAAAATGCTTGGAAATTATTATATCATCAAGGGAGATCAACATTGATTGTTTAAATGACTATTCTAATATTTGGTCAAAACGATCAGCATATCCTTATACATAAATCAATAAATCCACTCTACTTCCACATATTTGAGGAGAATAAGATGAGGCCATAACAAAAATTCTTGAAGAGATAATCCCAAGCTCTACATACAATCACCAATAATTCTAATGTTCATTTTTAACAACAACGTCGATGCCCACCATCACAACCAATGTTAATCACCAAGTTGACATTCACCATAGAACAAACAACCATGCCTTCCATTATTAATAATGGTGACACTTGTAATCATCATAAATGACAATACACCATCATCAATAAGTTAGATAACCATCATCAACAACAATATCAACACCTAACATTGCTAATATGGTACGTATTCACTATTGATATATTTGTTGATGCTTGTCACTAATAATAATGCTAATGTCCATCGTCTTGAACAAGAAAGTAGATACATGTTGTCAACACTAATGTTTGTAAAACTGTTGAGCCTAAAAAAATTAATTAGATTTTGATGATAATTAATATTGATAAAAAAATAGGAATGATGATTTCAATCTTTTTTTTTTATTTTTAATTATTTCAATCTAGTGTATGGAGAAGATAGGTGCATCATTATGATGATTCAAACATAAGAAGGCTAGCTAAGTAGTTTAGAAGAAAGTTGAGTCTCATTTATAAAAGCAAATGAAAATAAAAATCTTGTAGATATGCACAATAAGCTAGCAAATTAAGGTTGCTTGACCAAACATTTAAATCACAAAATCAAAATGTGAGCTAGTAACACTTTTAAACAACATTGTTTAAAAGTAAAATTACTTTTAATTAATATTTAGAGCCTAAAAATAATAAACTAAATCTAGTTCTTGATATTAAAAAGCTTTAAAATGCATAACAAAAACATCCATAGAATAAAATATTTTTCTAACTTAATAGGTCTCCACTAATATTTGTGAATCATCCTAAAGTCTCACTTTTGAGTGTGTGCTTGGTTTTTAACCATTTTTGCACCTATAACATAAATTGTATAAAAATAGAACATATTAATAGTCTTTGGTAATCTTTTCTTTTATAATTTTGAATTATTCTTTATGTTTCTTGTTGAAAACTACTTATCTAATGTCTTTTTTATCATAAATTTTATTATATAGAAAATTACCTGCACAAAAGACTAAAAAGTGGATTAGCTTAACTAATAATGTTTGTGGATCTTCAAAAAGTAACCTAGTGTAAACTAGGCTCATAAGTTCCAAAAAAAAGTTATTTGTCTGGTTATGGATATTGACCCTTGGTGTTATAAAAGATTTTATTGATGTTATAAATTGGGTGTTGCCCCTGTTATCCTAAAGAACCAACACAAAGTTTACTATACAAGGAGAAACATCTGATTTAAATAAAGCATGCCCTCTAAGGATGACTTTGATAATAGAAATGATAAATCAAAATACATCTTATGTTGTTCAAAGTTAACCTAACATTCATATGTCCATTGAAACTTAATATTAGTGCACCTTTGATCGTATTAAAAAATTATAAATATGTATCCCCTAAAGGCCAAGAAATGGGATAATGCTATAACTATTTCAGTTAGATGTTGGAATTCCTTTAGATTTCTTGGAGGTTTCATATTTCATATTGCTTTTATTAGCCTCAATTCCACGATGCACAACCATGAATCCTAAAATTTTTCCTATTATTACTCTAAGAAAAGTTGTGCTTTCTCAAAACTTTTGACTAACATGTCATCAACTTATACCTCCAAGATATACCCAATAAGATCTTTAAAAAATTATTTATCATGCATTAATAATTAAATAGGACTAATATTTTTAAATCCAAAAATGTTGTGCTTTCTCAAAACTTTGGACCAACTTATACCTCTAAGATATACCCAAAAAGTTCTTTAAAAAAATTATTTACCATGCATGAATAAATAGAACTAATATTCTTTAATCCAAATTCCAACTTGTAGTAGCAATATAATACAACCATTATTAGTTTGATAGGAAGTTTCTTTATCTTCAAGATTAATTCATCTTATTTTTTTATAACCCAAATAAGAATCCATAAAACTCAACATATGTGGCA